TGTCTCATACACTGACTCACCATTGTCTCATACACTGACTCAGCATTGTCTCATAAAGTGACTCACCATTGTCTCATAAAATGACTCACCATTGTCTCATACATTGATGTGTCTTTCTTCGGTTCTCTTCTGATAGTTTTGTATGGTAAGTTAGAGAACAGGTAGAGCTTCTTCTGACCCCTAAACAAAGGAGGAAAAGTGTAGTTTAGTAGCTCATAGTTGTTTAAAAGACACAATCCCAGAGCTGACACCAGACATCACTAAATCACATGTTATAAGGTTTGACCAAAACTACTGCAGCTCTGTCATTTTTCTATTTAACATCATCCTAATCTAAAACTCTGGCAATAAAAGCAGAGTAATATGCATTAGTTTAAGAAATGCTAGGTCTTTTATTTTTTTAAAGATAATACATAATAAGAGTCCTGGAATTTTCTAAAGACTTTGTGGAGTGAATCAAAGACCTGACATCTAGTTAGAAACCCATCTGTGTTTACATTCCCTCCTCAAAAGTTTCTGATTAAAGTCTTGAAATGCAGGGAATAGAAATCTTTTTTAAATAAAATACCCAATCCATATTCTGATCATATTTGCAGACTGCAGCAGGTAATCTGACATACTTTGAGAGGTAGAAAAAGATCCCAGTGAGGATGAGGAAGAGGAGAATTGGTATGAAGACCGCAAGGACCACCTGGACCCCCTCCATCCTTAAGTCTGCAGAGGAAACTATAGGAGAAAGAACACAGGGCATTCAGGTCCTGATGGGTTCAAATAAAACCATCACCCTAGTTCAACACTTCAAATACTTTTACTTGTCAAAGCTGGTATAAACAGATGCAGTTTGTGAAAACCCAGTTTGGGATTTATAAAATAAATCACAAGATTGTTTTGATGAAGTGAAATATTTGCTTCATGTCTATTTATTATTTGTCATAAATGAGTTTCTGTTTGACAGTAATTGTATCTTTATTTTTTTTGTAATTATAAAAAGGAAATAAATCCATTGTTGGAGATCATCTTATTCTTTTCTGATCACAGTTACAGATGTTTACTTTCCAAATTATCCACAGATTTACAATCAGATAAACATTTTACACTAAAGTAAAAATTGTAATTTAGTAATTTAAAGCTATTTTTACTGAGAATGTTTTGAATCATTACTGTAAACGTAGATGATTCATGAGTTCTGCAACATTTAAACCTAAAATAGACCTGATGGTTGGAAGTTCCTCACCTTGACAGACAGGTGGCAGCCCACTCCACAAAGACGGGTGTCCAGGGACACAGTGGAGAACAGGCTCACCCAGGAGCTGGTGTCCAGTTTGGCAGGAGTAGTTCAGGGTCTCCCCAGCCTGAAAGTGGATCTTCTTGGAGCTGGGGGTCCCGTAGGAGGGGGTTCCTGGGTGGCTGCACGGCTCAAACGTCTCAGCTGAAGATAAATGTGAAACATTTATTGAAAAGAAATGTAACTCATTCAGAAGATGCTGGTAATTTAGGGTAAATTAAAGGTTGGACATGAAAGAAAAATATTTATATTTTCTATTGGTACAGTAGAACATGAATTGTATCAGTTTACTGCTCGTCTGAGTTAAAGAGTTAAACATCCCCTGCAGGAACACACCACCTGTCACCTTTCAGACTGAAATCATCTCATCCTGACAATTGATGGAGTTGTGGAAGCTTTGGTGAACAGAGCATTATGATTGTGCAGTGCTGTGATGGACACGTGAGCTGTCTGTGAACAAATTAATAAAACAAATAAACTTCATAACATAAGCATGTGATAGAACTCAAACTTAAATTAAAAATCAATGTAAAGAAACAAGTTTTCAGGCAGGGTCCAGATTCTGTTTGAATATCAGACAGTGGACGTCTGTGGCAGAATAGGGGAGTCGACCTGTAACYGGTGGGGTGCTGGTTAGATCCCCGTTACATTCTTTTCAGTTGTTGTGTCCTTGAGCAAGACACTTCACCCACCGTGCCTACTGATGGTGGTCTGAGCAGTCATCCTCTGAGGGAGTCAGAGGTTTGATTCCACCAGTATGCAGTCAAATGTCGAAGCGCCTTTGAGTAGTACACTGAACCCTCACTGTGTCCCATCAGTGTACACTGAAAAAAATAACTTGTAAGATTTACTTGAAAAAAATCCTCTAACAAATTTGCACTAACGTTTGTTAAGTAAATTTAAATGCCACAAATTCATGTAATATTTACTCGTCATTATCTAGTAAAAGTTATTAAGAATATAGTTAAAGATCTGTGAATAAATCAGGTAAATTTTACTTAATTTGATCAAGTATATGTTACAAGATTTAATTGAGCAAATTAAGAAAAATTTACCTGATTTATTCACAAATCTTTAACTATATTCTTAATAACTTTTACTAGATAATGATGAGTAAATATTACATGAATTTGTAACATTTAAATTTACTTAACAAACGTTAGTGCAAATTTGTTAGAGGATTTTTTTCAAGTAAATCTTACAAGTTG